CCTCCCGGGGGGCGCAGGCCCCCAGATCTGCACGCAGGATGACAGCAGGTTGCTGTCCCTCCCCCAGAGCACTGGGATTGGAAGGGACCTCAGGGACAGATGGCAGACACTGGCCAGCTACACAGTTAACATCAGAGGTGTCCTTCCACCCCTCTTCCCCCTCCCTCTTCTTAGTTTCCGTTTCCCTGCAAGCCCGGCTCTGAAACATTTCAGATGGTTTGGTTTCGTTTTGAAGATGTTTCAGAGCCTCCCGTTTTGTTTCAGATTCGGTGTTTCAGGTGCCAAAACACCTCCGAAATGACACGGCTGCCAAAATTTTGCACAGCCCTAATCTTCACATACAAGCTACTTTCTTGGACAGAAGGGGAGGGTATCCATTGCCTCCATAGCCACATCTCTCTCCCAGTCCCCACAGAGGGCAGGAGGAATACTTTAGTATGAAACAGGGTATCATTGTCCGTGCCAGGGCCACAGATTCATGATAAAAAACAATGCAGCCTGGAGCTGTTTGGAGAAGCAAGGAAGTAGAGGGGCCAGAGGATAGAAAATGTGGTAAAAGCCAGAGCAAACACAAACAGTACAAAGCTACTTTACAGATGGCCCCGACTCTTAATAGATCCCAGGGGACTGGTCAGATTTGGAACAGCTCTAGTCCAGTCTTCCCCATGCCTCCCTCCCCTGAAAAATGTCAGAAGGGAATCCCGCAAGAAAATGCTTGCAGCAATTCCCTCTAGAGTCCAATCTCGTCCCACCTTCATTAATTTTCCTGACAGTAACTGGAAACTATGCATCAAAGAAGTCTGTCTTGTACTTGATCCAGCAGAAAGCCTATAGGCTTGTACATCCGCATCACTCAAGTGCCCCATCTGAGTCTAGGTCCAACAACAGATAGCTATTTCTTTTTAAGGTTTTTAAATATTTGAATGAAATGCTTGCTGGGCTCTAATATGAGCCTGTCCACACTCAAGTCCTTCAGGCTCCTGTAGCACTGATTGGAACAGTCCACTTATTACTCATAAATGCGGATAAACCTTCTGCCAAGGCAGCCGTTACATTTATAAAGTGTCTTGCATGCAAAAGGTGGAAAAGAACCATGCCTAAAAACATAATACAAAAAAAAGCAAGTCAGGCACAGCTGAACACCAGTAAGGTGAGTGGAACAGAGACCTCTCATTGCATCTTTTAGCTTTTTCCAAGGACCCATCCACTGAAAAGGTCGGTGAGAAGCAAGTTGCATCACTTGACCGACTAATAAACGAGTGTCCTCGCACCTGCTGAATTTCTCTTGCTGCAAAGGCCATGTGAGGATAAGAACCAGAGAAAGACAGGGGAACTGGCACACAGATAAGTCCCCTACAAACTATACGGGGCCTGAGTCAGAGACCACATTTAATACAACCCTTCAACTGATCCAGTGCTTTGCCAGACGTTATGCGCAGGGCAACATGCACCTGGTCAGAATAAAAAGTCTGGGAAAAAAGAGGCAATGAACAATGAAGGGTTATGACAGCAGAAACAAAGCATTAATATGATCAGAAACACAGACCTGAACTTGATAGCTGCTCTGGAGCACTGACCCGCTCACAGCTTCTGGGACTTCTGCAGACTCTCTCACACAAGGGTCTTGGAGATAGTTAAGTCGCAGGGAAAATTCTAGCTACAATTGAGGGGGAAAATGTTGGCTGCTCTTGCAGAACCAGTACTGCACAACACAGACCAAGGAGGATGCATGTCAGGCTGTGAAAGCACGCACAGGAGCAAGCACCAAACGCACTTCACCCCCGTATCATGCAATCTGGCATGACAGCGGCGTTTTAAAACCATCTTTCTTATGGCCTTTCTCGCTTTGTTTCTATGGCATTCATGAAATAATATGGGCTCCCTCTGCTGGTCAACCTTGCGTCTAGGTCTCCAGTAGATCGACTGTCTGCTTTCTATTTCAGAACAACCTCTATTTAATAAATAAAACCCCACCAAGAGTTAACACTCCCAATGACTCCCTTACAATGTAATCACAGAGTCACTTCTTACTGCTGTTCTAACGTTAAAAAAAAAATGTTAAACAAGCCAAGATGTAAACCATATTAAAAAAACATCTAGGGATGGGGGTGAAGGAAAAGTCAATGGCTTAGTCAACGCAACACAATTAATGCTAAACTGGTGTCCCGTACATCCCGTCAACCCTGATTTACAACTTCTGTATGTGACTTTATGGTTCCTAGGAAAGGGCTGAATTAGCCTCATGTCTCATTTAATGCCACGATTTACCACAGGGAACCCTTCTCCAAAGGAGATGTTTTTCCAGCTATCACAGCTTTAAATGTGAATTGATCCCCCCCACTTCCCTTGGCTTCCTTCTTTGTGGCACTGTTTTAAATCAGACTAAGAACTGCAAGAGCCCACCAATCTGGTAATAAGAGCATGGAGGACAGCAAGAAAGACTCTTTAATAAAAAGAAAACGCAAAGAGAATGGGAAAGAGAAGCTGATCTGAGCAGAGCATCTGGCCGGGCCCATCTCGAGAGATTGCTAGACCCCAAGATGACCTCAATGAGGAGTGCAGGTATTCAACGCCTGCTGGGAGCAACCTGTTCAACCATGGGGCAGAAAGTAATCCGGCCTTCTTCAGTGAGGAACATCAGGGTAAAGTCTGCTCTGACTGAGGGAAGAGCAGCGGAAAGGGCTGACAGTCACTTACTAGTGACTATAATAAGAATTTCACCAGCACATGGAATAACTCCTTTTTAAAAATCACTGCCCTCATCGTCCAAAGACAAACAAACAGACCCACTGACCCTTTAACCGAGTGGTGATTCTTGCATGCAGCAAAAGAGCCACTTAAAATCTCAACTGCTTGTCATCCAGACACAGAAAAGGCTTTTTAACCCTTTGCTCAGATGACATCAGTCCTATCCTGATACAGGCAACTCAATCTAAAAGGCTGCAGCCTAAGGCTAGGGATAGAAATTATACATAAACCAGTATAAGTGATCAGAAACCAATTCAGATCCATAACACAACAGAAGTTCAGCGCATGTAAACCGCTTTCAAAGTGGCCAAAACTGGTTTAAGATAAACTTGGAAGGATGTAGTATCAGACTTATCTGGGTTAAGATAAATCAGTGTACTGAACTTGTGTCTCAGATCCCCTCCAGATTCAAGTTAACTCACAGTCCCCCGGTATCCCAGGATTCTTTGTACTTCTCCCACAAACTGTCCCCCATACAGGGTGGGTGGGCTAGCCTTGACCCACACAGTCTGCTCCAGCTGAGCAGGGAGGCATGCTCGAGCCTCCCGCCCACCCCAGCTTCTTGTCTGGGTCACTGCAGGCATGTGGCTGCATTTCTAGAATCAAAAGTGAATGTCTGTTCACTTGCTTACCAGTTCAATCTACACAGCTTTAGATTAACCTGCAAAGATTAAATTGATTCAGCCTCAGGCTTCTTGACTGTCTGTACTTAGCCAAAGAGTCTGATCCTTCCCTGAGCCGTATGCCCCCAGAGCCCATACGCTTTGCTGAACTGGGACCCCAGGCTATATTCTGTCGAGTCCTAGAGCAGAAACAAAGACCAGCGGGCCATTTCTTGTTAGTTGGGAACTCCGAGGAGGCAAAAGTTAATTTTCTCCCCCTGGAGCTAAAATGTGCATGAGAAAAGTGGGTCTTTTTTCCAGACTTTGACTGACAGTCTAACATGGGTTAAAGTAACCCCGATTTGTGTCTCAGCTAATCTAGTTTAGTTGTAAGACAATCAGTCCAGACTCGGAGCATAAAGATTGTTCACATTAGCTAACCGCTAGCAAATAAGTTAAATAAAATTACTACAATTGCGTTAGTGCATTTAGAAGAGCCATCATTGAAATATTTAAGACTATTATGCAGAATTTCAAGGCTTACGATCAAAGGAAAAATCCCTCATTTTTGTCTCATGACTAAAGAGTAATGCTGCGAGCCAGGCTCGGATAGGTCTCACGTCCAGCAAACAAGGAAAATCCCAGCGTGCTTTTTTGTCTATTATGCTTCCAAATGTTGTAACACTACACTTTGTATACCAAAATAACTTTGTCTTAATCAATGCCACTTAGGTGACTTTGGTTTCTGTACACGACAGAGTGATTCATCTGGACGCTTTTAATCTCAAATGCTGAAAATATTCTTCCTCTGCACATGATGTACAGACAACTCCGCATGGAGTACGCAGTCTGTATTGTTTTAAGGATTATTTAGTCACTCCTGACTATAAAATGTTTTTTTAAATATTAGCACTTTTATGCATTTTGCATTGTCACAGTCTTGTACAAATATTGAACTCACTTATCTTTCCATCTGTGCAAAAAGAAAAAGAAATGCACCAGAGTGCAAGTAATTTAAACTCCTTACTATTATTAAAACAAGCAGAGCCTTTAGGGTGTATTGTGTAAATGAATTTCCCACACAAACTAATTGAAGATGTTGACTGTTTCCAAGGAGCATGCCCTGGCTAAGCAGAGCAGGAAGTCCCGACAGTTTAGGAAGTTCATTAAACTGTGTAATGGAATTTAAGTAGTCAGTGACAGCTTTCATGCAGCGCAGCAAGCGGGAGAAGCAGCTCTACCAGCCTGCAAAGAGGAGTGCAAGAGCTTTCAATTATTGCACACATTTCAGCTGCAGAGATCTTGATGCCACTTAAATACCACTATTCAGTAGACTATTCAGGGCATGCAGCTCAGTGACTCTATTAGAGTGAAAAGGTTATTTAATAGTGCATATGCCTCCCCCCTGCAGCCCTGTACTCCTTTTTCATGTAAATAGGTCAATGCAAGACAATGGGGGAAAAAAATCCCGCTGATCAGAAAAGGGCGCTTCACCTTGGGAGCTCTAAACTCTTCAGCACATTCCACTTAATACAAAGTAGCAGCTAAAAGAAAGGCGTGTGGGTATAATTAACCCAGGAAAAAAGGACTTAATTTACAGACAGCCAGACCTTGGAAGTGGTACAAATAAAACAGCACCGTTCTACATACCTGGTGGGCACACGCAGTCAGACGAAGCTTCTCTCGCTGTCCGTAACTTGGCTAGCCCTTCGCCCATTTTCTGTTTACAAGGGGAGAAAAATGAGAGATAGTTAAAGACTGAATTTATATAGGCTGCACGTGCACGGATGACCAAATCATAACACAAATTCCCTGCATGTCGTATACAAACTTCATCCTTTTTTCTTCGGGAGAGTTTGACAATAGCTTCCACTAGAGTGTCACAAAAGGTTCTTGAAAATCTCCAGGCTGCCAGACCCTGCCACCAGTTACCCAAGGTAACAACGTCCTACCACGTCTTCCAGCAAATAACTTCTTTAATTTCCAAGGAAGAAATTACTCGGCATGACAGATTGCTATCACAAGCCCTTGATAAGTACTCGAGATGCTAATAGCGCTGCGCCGTCAAACTGTGCGGCTGATGCTCTCAGCTCAAAAGGAGTCTACTGTGCTGCTCAAGTTTTAGCACCTCTTCTATGCCGACACGTGCTTCAAAAGAGACCCGTTTGCTAAGCCTGGATTGAGGTGCAGGATGTCATAGGAGGCAGAGCATGCCACACAGAAGGATACCTTTTTGTCTTTTTCTAAACCAATCAAAGGAGGACCAGTACAAGATCCCTTGCCTTCTACAGCGTGCAAGACATTTTTTTTTTAAATTACCCGTTATTTATTTCTGCCCTTCAGTAGGTATCAGCAAAATATGGATACATGAGCTTTCACTTCTGGGAATAGCTGGACAAAATGTTCTCCTCTGGTTTGTCACACACAGTGTGAATCAAAGTATTTCCAGGGAAGTGAAATGACCCAGGGAACTCATCTTAATAAATCCATGGCAGCAGCACAGATGTGACATTACATGAATGCTTTTTGTATTTGCAAACCCACATTATCTGTAAAGTCATTTTTTTTTAGATTCACTATATATGGGTTCTGTTGCTTTTGGGGACACGCTGTAACAATTCGAAAGAGGAATGAAAATGCTCAGGTTTTGAAGTGGTTCTTCCCAAACACCACTCTGTATAGCTGAGGATCAAGGGTCAGACATTACCATGCAAGTTTTTTGCCTTTTTTTTTGTTTTAAGTCAAAGCATCTGTGCTCCTGCCTTGTTTTCAAATAGTTTACAACAGCATTATGTTATCTGTTAGAGAAAACAGGATCACTGGAGTAATCACACCTATAAGGTCTGTAAACATTATCCTGTAGCAATCTAAAACTAAAACAAAGCCCTGCAAAGCCACCAAAGAGGTTCCCCATTGATTTCAATAGGTTCCAAATCAGGCCATTTTACTCCTGCCATTCATTTAAAGTGGGAGGAAAAGGCATACCATGAACAAAAATAGATAGATATGCAACTAAGACAAACGGCATGCTCAAAAATCCTTTGACATCTGACAAAAACCAATGGAGCGCCCTTAACATTTCTAACAATTTTGACCAGTTGGGAAAAAAATCCTGTTGTCCACATAGTTCAGCCTAGAGATGTGACACTATTGTCCTTCATCCTCAGGGCAAGCTGCTGCCTTACACGTAATACTGACTGCCCAGCGTGCCCGACCCAAAGCTTTAAAGAAATTCCACACCTATTCCTTCTCATTTTCCTAATAAATAACCAACCGGAAGCAAATAAAACCGGTTGCCATAAGAAGAGCTTGCAGTAGCGGTTGGCAGATGGGTTGATCTGATCTTTGACTGGCTGGTCTCGAGTTTTGGAGCGAGGGGTAGCAAGCCAGCTTCACTTTTCTAGACAGGAGCATCCTTGACTGGTGGCAAACACTCGGAGGATAGATGCCTTTTTGATTCATTTTAAAACCAAAGCAGCGGCAGCTCACCGGGCCTCATCTATCTTTCATTACACTCCTCCATTCTGCTAAGTTAGCTACAGCACTAATCAGGCCAAAACAGCTTTGAGAAAGACTGGGAGAACAGTGCATCACGAAAAACAGGTCAGCCAAACAAGGGAGGGGAAAAGGAGACCGAAAGTTGAGTCTGGGGCTTCCATTGCTCAACAGCATTCAAGAGGAAATCCTCAATGAAAGTGGCTTTCAATGAGAGTTGGGTGCCTACCTCCTTTGTTTCTGATCAAATCTCTAGGCCATATTTTAGGGGTGTAGGTTGTAGCCGTGTTGGTCTAAGGACACAGGTAGACAAGGTTCCTTGGGTGAATCAGATATCTTTTATTAGATCAACTTATTGATCTAATAAACTGATTGGTCTAATAAAAGATACCTGATTCACCCAAAGAACCTTGTCTGCCTAGGCCATATTTTAGCTGCTTAACGGGGGGAAGGCTAATGGGACTACTAAACCAAGCAAGGGTCTTCAGGACCGAGCCATTTTGGAGCCTCCGTCTCATTTAAACCACATTAAGAAGAAAGAAGGCAATAATTATAGACATAGGCCCCACAAGCATGGTCATGTCAAGGGAGGGCAAATCCAGCATGCTTACACGCTTGAATTCTGTCCAGCCCAGGACTCTGTTTATGATCAATTCAAGACCAGACTAATTTGTGAATTAACTTCTGCCCCCATATGCAGTGGCACAGACGGTCTTTCTGGCTGTTGCAATTCTAATTGTATAACCCCATCTGTTCGAATGTTATGCTGCTCGCAAGCCAAAGCACCCACGAGGTGCTAACAATAACTGGTTGGAGTATCTTTGAGTTGCTTGGAACGACACACTGGAGAACTGCTTTATAAGCTGCAATAGAAAGGATGGAGGAGTTTTAGACTATCACAGAATAAAACCATAAGAAATCCTGGAGGGAAAGTTCTGAGATGGAGGGTCTCTCTTTTGGGGTTGGGGGGGGAAGAATTGCCCGAACAATTGATTCATTTCTCCAACAATCATAGGATGCAGAGTGTACACTGCAGATGAGTCACTATTTTCTAGTTACCCCGGATGATAAAGCTGCCCAGGAAAATATAAAAGTTATCCCATTTCCAACTCGTTCAGGAGGCTTACAGGTCTCTGGGATTTTCTCATTTTTTGCATTCTGAAGCGCGTGCCCAGTAGTCCCAATGCATTCCCCTACTCACACGACTGATTAATCTGAACGCTGTCTGGCTAATAAGGAACAATAAATCCATTGTGAATTAAACTGTCCTGCTTTGTTTACAACAACTAAATATTTCTTTAATCCTCGCATTAACATTTTTACTACAGCATGAGAACTATGCGCTTTGGATTCAAGCTTTTGCTACAGAACAAGTGGCAATAAGGCCACATCTGGATCACATGCTTAAAAAAATATTTTAGAGTATATAATACTAGGAATTCATCGATCTTTTGGTGTTGTTGAAGACTACTGCATGTGCATAACATGGTTAATTATAAAAGCCAAGAGGACAGTAGCAGACTTGCTCATCTAAGGCAAAGTTTGCAAAGGTGTGCGTGAAGTCCCTGAGGGTTTTTCCTGGGCACATACAGCTCTTTGAGATGGGTGGGGGGGGAAAGAAAAAAAAAAAATCTTATTTTATGTGCATTGCAGTAGAGTCTACAATTGAGACTGGGGTCCCACCATGCTAGCTACTACATACAAGCAAGCCCAACCTCAAAGACTTAACAATCCAAATAGACAAGGTAAGGAAGTGAAGTGTTGAGAGAACAAGTGATTTCCCCATGATTAGAGAGGGAAGTCCAAATCCAGTGCCTTAAATAATTAGTATTCCCTCCCTCGGATTTCCTTACTATATCCTAACCTTTTCTACTTTCTGAACATTTCTCCCTGTTTGTGCATGGTGCACAAACCAAACACACAGCATTGCATTTACTTCCTTATATACGTCTCAACTTCAGAAGTCGTGTCAGCAGAGCCTGGGGACAACCAAGCATTCATGCTCCCTATGCAGAGGTAGAGAACACAATTGCACTTCTATATGTTGTCCCGTGTGAGACCCATGTTCATATACATGTTTTGGTGTCATTTCTTCTGCAGCTTTGTGGTCAACTTCAAAAGGAAAAAAAAAAAGTTAAGAGTTTCTAAAAAATTGACCCAAGGCATCAGGTCATTCACTAGGGGTCACAAAGTCTCTTCTGCAGCAAAATTCTCAAGCTCAGAAAGAATAAAGGAGCCACGAGTAGGATGTTTTAGACAATTAACAAGAATGTGATCAAAGAGAGTTTGTTGTTTAAAACTTCAATGTAAATGAGCAGATGTAGCTTAACAGGACTGGTAAAAGATAACAGATAACTAATTAACATTCACTCCCTGAATCTGTTACTCATTTAAAAAAAAAATGCTCTCAGTATGGACTGAAGTTTGACCAAACTAAGGGTTTCAACAAGCATATTCTTGTAGCAGGAACTCAGTTTTGTGGTTTAATTTAATTTAATTTTCCCTGAACACTCCCCATCTGAGCACTCACAGTGGAAAGCAAGCTTTCCACTCTTAACTAAATCTCAGCAAGAGATTTTTTCTTCTGTGGCACTGCCCAAAATCATGTGCAATTCCCAGCTCCAAGCATATTTACTCAAATAACACCAACAGAACTGCTGGCATGACTGACACGCTAGCCTGTAACTGGAGCAGGACTTAGCTGACGGAGTAAGTCCAGCTTTCAAGGATCTGAAGTGAAACAAACACTGAGGTTTTCTAGTCATGCGATTTGCAAGCACCTCTTCTGTTCCAGCACTTCAGACCCATCCCTTTAGCCAGGGGTTCCCAACCTGTGGTACATGTACCCCTGGGGATAGGCAAGACATCTCTGGGGGGTACGCGGGAGAAATTGCTTAATGGTGGATTTCGTTTTCATAACAATAATAATTGGTATTTAAGGGGTTAAATATATAAAATGTATGGTGGATGGGATACATGGGGAGCTGGTAAATCTGGAAGGGGGTATGCAATAAGAAAAAGTTTGGGAACCTCTGCGTGATGCCATTAGTTAAATTCGAAGTGACAAGGCATGCAACACCCTCATTTTGGTAACACCATTTTCTACGCCTGGAATAGCCTCCTTTTCCCCCAAATGCCGAACTATGGTTCCTCCTCCAAGTCTGACTTCTTTTCCTTTAGCTTTGCACCGCTGATCTCCATGTGATCAGCAATGACAGGGACAGAAATTGCACATAAACCAGAGTAAGCGATCGGAAACGAGTTCAAATCTGTAACACAACAGAAGTTCAGGGCACATAACCTGCTTTCAAAATGCCTGAAACTGGTGTAAAATAAACCTGGATGATGTAGTATCAGACTGAACTGGGTTAGGTAAAATCGGTTTACTGAACTTGTGTCTCAGATCCCCTCCAGATTCAAGTCCACTCACAGTCCCCCAGCATCCCAGGATGCTTTGCACCTCCCCCAGAAGCCCCACCTTTGCAGGGTGGGCAGGCTAGCCTTGGCCCACTCTGTCTGCTCCAGCTGAGCAGGGAGGTGTCCTCTAGCGCCCCCCGGCTTCTGGCCTGGGCCACTGCAGGCATGTGGCTGCATGTCCAGAATCAAAAGTGAATGTCTGTGCACTTGCTGATCGGTTCAATCTGCACAGCTTAGACTAACCTGCGAAGATTGAATCAATCCAGCCTCGGGGTTTTTGGCCGTCTGTGCTTAGCTGTAATAATAAACAAAACAGAAACCAACAAGCAACATGCACGATCTATTTTATTTTCTCTCTCCCTTCCTATTGTTTCCTGGTGTCTCTTCCCTAACCACCCATTCTCTCTCTGAATTCAGCCCTAGAATAGATTTAAGCAATTTTTATTCCCATGACGAGTTCCTCTGAATTCCATGGGACTAACACAAATGTTTGGGGTGAGGTGGGCACGCTAGTAGGGAGGGAAAGACTGCAGAAAGACCTGGATAGGTTGCAGGGGTGGGCTAACAAAAACAGGATGCATTTCAATACTGACAAGCGCAGGGTGCTGCACGTGGGCAGTAGCAACCGGCAGCACACTTATAAGATGGGAAACTCCCTTCTTGAGAGCACGGAGGCAGAAAGGGATCTAGAAGTCGTCATTGACTCCAAGATGAACATGGGCCGACAATGCGAGGTCATGTTTGGCAGGGCTAACCGGCATGATCCGGGGACAGCAGGACAGACCCTACAATGAGAGGCTACAGGACCTGAACCTGTTCAGCCTTCACAAGAGACGGCTGAGGGGGGACCTGGTGAACGTCTATAAACTCACTAGGGGGGACCAGAAGGGTTTGGGGGAGACCTTGTTTCCCCTAGCGCCCCCCGGGATAACAAGGAATAATGGCCACAAGTTGTTGGAGAGTAGGTTTAGATTAGACATCCGTAAGAGCTACTTCACAGTCAGGGCAGCTGGGATCTGGAACCAACTTCCAAGGGAAGTGGTGATGGCTCCTACCCTGGGGGTCTTTAAGAAGCGGCTTGATGCCTACCTGGCTGGGGTCACTTGAGCCCAGTTTTCCTCCTGCCCAGGCAGGGGGTCGGACCTGAAGATCTACAAGGTCCCTTCTGACCCGACTTCTATGATTGTATGATATGATTCTATGAAATTATGTTGCACACACAGGTAACTGTTTGCAAGGCTCAGACCTTGAGGCTGGAAATTTCTTGGACAGAATATCATGTGTTATAGGCCAATTGCACCAATGGTACAAAGCCTGTAGGAAAGAGGCAATCTAGTATTCCATCATTACTTCCTCTGTCAGGCTTATATTCTGCAATCTTGTGAGCTGGGCTGCAATTTTATGAGCAACTAATTGTCAAACCGATCCTAGAATCCCCAAACTTCTTTACTACCTGGTAAATCACTCAAATAAAATAAAATAAAATAAAATAAAATTAAAATCCCCTGAAGTAAAGGCAACTGCTGGGATCGAAAAACCTAATTTCCTCCAAAAATGTGTTAATGTTTAAATCAGAAGGTAGAAACAAATGTGGAAACTCATTATAGGAAGGAGAAATATAGTACTTCTTTGAGCATGAAAGCTTCCAGCGTTCTCTGAATTACATCAAGGAACTAAGCAAATCCAGCAGCAAATACTGTAACTAGTTCTTAATCTCTTCAATCCTCCATAAATCAGTTCATCACCATTAGACCACATTCTGTTTTATGATATTCCACAAGATAATGGGGACCATGTTCATGTATGTGTAAATGAAACGATAGTCAATTACAGCCAATAAAAACGTACCATTTAAATACTGGAATTCCCTTTTTCACTGCCTGCAACAGGGGACAGCATTTACTTTCCTTCTTAAAATGAGTAATACCACCTAAGATGTTTTTGCATAGTTGTTGTTAATGAAAGGCCAGACTCCACCACTTAGTTGTTGTCTTGTGGGTGCTACTTTATGGAGTAAGGGCTCCTATACACATGCAGGGAGGCTGCTCCGATGAGTTGTACTTTCAGCACATGGGAGCAGACTGGATTAATCAAGGCTGTTGGAGCGCTTGTAATCACTGCGCTCCAGCAGACTCCGGTGTCATGTGCATCAGTGTCCTTGCACTGAAAAGTGGCAGCCGGGCACTTCAAAGCTCCTTCAATGAGCTTTAGTTCAAAGCACCCCACAGCCATTTTTCAGCACAGGGATGCTGATACACGTGACATTCTGGGCACTTTTAATTAGCACGGCTCTCAGAGACGTGCTAATTAAAGCACCCCCTCCATGTCCCAGAGCACATCTATAAATGCCCTAGAGGTCTAACTCAGTAAAGAGTGCTAGCATAATCTGGCTGCATAGCATTTAGACTTCTTTCTCGTTTTTACCCACAGTATGCCAGACCTACATCAGCTACATTCTAAGGAATGAATAAAAAATTACAAAAAAGAAGAATATTAACTGGTTGTTTTCAACTTCCCAGACTTGTAAGTGATGGCAGCACTTTGGAGTAAGGACAGCTGTCTTCCATTCTGAGCACTGACACCAATTAGAAGGATAACTGCTCTCTGTCTCTGCTCGTCAGTCTGTAAAATGGGGATAATGATACTTGTCTTGCTCACAACTGGCTCTAAATCTCGCACAGCCTCAAGCACCATCCACTCCCACCAACTTCAGCATCAGGCCCCTAGTGAGGAAGTGGTGAGCCATACTCCAGACTAAGATTGGAGGCACATGGGCTAAGTATTCCCATGCATGCCAGGATGACCTTTCCCTCCACCACCTAGCAGATGGAAGAGCTAGGGCTCCACTAAAACAGTGGCTCTCAGCCTTTTTCAAATCAAGGCACCCCCCAGGGCATGAAGCACTTCTCTGTAACTTTTTGAAGTGGCACGTGGCTCAATTCACAAAGCAAGTGCATTTATCATCGTCCTTACCTCCTTGCAGAGGAGCCGGGCAGCGGGAGCAGGGGAGACACCAGGTCGGGAGAGCCCGAGCCTGCCCTCATCTGCTTTTCTGGGGGCACTCCTCAAGGGATCTGGCAGCTGATGGAGACTCGCCCGACTAAGGAGCAAAACGGCTTTCATGCCCTGGGCAAGTTTTCAAGACCCCAGCTCCTACAAAAGTCGAGTGCTTTGAGGGACCCCAGCTCCTACAAAGCTGGTTACTGAGCAGGGGAAGAGAGCAGGGACTTGAGCACCTACTTCGCAGAGGCATGGCACTTTGGAAAGTGACCGCCTCCGCAGAAGCAGACAAGGTCCTTGGGACGAATGCAGTATCTTCTATTAGACCAACTCAAATCGTTGCACACCTAGCCCTTAGACCACCACCCCTCCCAATAGGCGGCTGAGCTGGGCGGGGGGAGGCGGCAAGTGTCCCCCGAGAGCTTCAGCAGGGCGGAGCGGACGCCCCGGGGGTGCCTTTCGCAGGACATCGCGGCCGCGGGGACCCCGGGCTGGGGCTGGGGGCGGCGCACTCACCTCCCGCAGCAGCTGCTCCACGTGCGGCTGCAGCAGGGCGAGCAATGCCGG